TCAAAACGTCTTTCTCTTGCTTGTGCCTTCTCTTAATTTTGCAGTTTTCGGGATTTAAAAAAGCAGATCATTTCGTTGCGCGTTATACAGAAACGCGTTAGAGAACAACTCGAAAAAAAATAGTTATTCTAATCGCATTTACGGCGTAAAATATATCCGACATGTAGCTAACGATAATCACCCCGGTCAGCCCTTCAATGATGACGAGTTCATACAGTTTGTGTTACTCCAGGAGACCTCCTATACAGCCTGCATAAATAAAGAAAGCTGTTGCTATGATTATTCTATTAATTCAATAAAAACTTTGTTTTCTTCATTTGTAAAAAAGAGAGCGCGGTATTTGGCGGTCTCTCTCTGGTCGCTTTTTACCTCTCTCAAAGTCTCTGCAGTAGGCCAAGTTAGTTTGTTTTTCGTGATTATTCGAAGACGTATTATGCATTTTCAACAAAGGGTTGCTTTTAATTGGTCCACTTACGTTACAGACGGGCTAATGATAAAGCCTCGCTCTCATTGACGAACACTGAAAGTATACTGGGCTACTCATTTCCACCGAATTATGGCCTGAGTAGAAGAAGCAACCAGGGACTCAAGTGCGTCACGAAAATCATGGGACTGGGCTAATCACTTTCCGAAATCATACTTACCTGGTGCTGGGCCTTCCGTGATCAAGACGGCGGAGACCCCAGGTGAAGGCTTTTCCATTGCACTTCGGAAGGGCTGATACCTGCCACTCTCCCAAACTGGGAAAGATGGAGCATGCAATTTTTGATAGTGGGGGTGTGCGTTCGCGCAACCCCTTTCATATTAAGAACCAAAGATATTGAAAAAACGAAATGACTTTTAGAATGAATTTGTTTAGTTGAACAGCGCGGGATAACTTCTCGATCTTAATGTACAGGAGGGAAAAAAACACCTCTGTACTTCTTGTGGGCAGCTAAACAAACTTTTACTACCAAATGCCGGTACTTGCATGAGAATGGCAGAACTTCATTGTGCAGAAACTAGCAGCTTGAGTCTGCGAAACTGGAGAGAGGTCGTATTTGTTTATGGCCATTTCAAGTTTGCTAATAAAGAATGAATATTATGCCAACTATAAAAGAGTATTATGCCAAATATAGAAAATGTTCTATTCATTATGATTGATGGTTCATTATGTTTTTTTTAGTATAAAAACTAAGCAATTATTATCCTGCGCAGTTCTCCTGGCTATAGAAAGGAAAATACAAATAACCGCCGAAAGCTGAAACTTCTCAGTGGAAGAGATTTGCGCTATTTTAAAAATTCAAGGAAGCTAAAGGACACACTTCATTTTTCCTGGATAAAAACCGAAGCCAGTTAGGCTGGATAATCGCAGCGATGTATTCTTAAGCTGATGAGTTTCGCTGATTTTCAAAGAAGTGTAATCAATAATGCTGTATCAGTTGGCTTTTGAACCCCATGCTGTCGATCCGATTGTCAATTGTTCCGATCAAGAATCCCATTGTAGCTTCAGAAATACGCGATCCCCTTCTAACATATGGATGACTTTTTTCCGTCATAAGGCGTAAGTTACGATCAGCGCCGAATAGTCCAATCACTTATTGTCTTATTACCAGATAACGAACCTAATTGAGCGATCGACCACTTATTAAATTCAACCATGATATTCGGTTGTGTCGAAAACAAAATTGTGTGTTGTCGCTTTCTTTCAGCAAAAACTACTTTTTTTTTTTTGTTAGACTGATTGGCATTTGTGTGGCACGAGGTAAACAGTATTCCGATACTCTAAAGCATCTGGCTATATATAGATAGACAATAAAATTAACAAAACCAAAAATTCGATTTACATTTAAAGTATCTCGTCTGGTCAAGGCTGTTGTTGAAACTCGAGAATATTAAATACACAATTACTGGTTACCATGCGTATGAGTAGGTTCGTATTAGTTATTCATTTTCCCGGCAGTTTTCTTTTTTTTTTTTTACCTTTTCAGTTTGGCATTAACCTGAAGCGACTTAATTAGATATGAGGCAAACGTGATTCCAAGATTGCTTGGACGATACGCGTATCGAAGTTACGAATTTACGTCTACAAGAAGTTATTACACAGTCGCCTTTATCAGTTGTTAAGTATATGTGCAATACAGATGAAAGTGCAGAAATATGGACTGTACGACAGGCACGCAAATGGTTATCTTGGCTACTTGATGCGTTTTAGGTGAGATCGCTAGCCACGCTTTGTGGCCACCACAGATGGTGGATGTCAAGAAAATCTAACTGATACGATACATTTGCTTCAACTGAACCTATATCGTATTGTCTCAGCCACATCGTGGTAAGAACACAAAAATACCACGATTGGGCCTCAGACTTTGCCTAAGTGCTTATTTTACGGATTGGGAATTCCATTATAAAATCGAACTTGAACCCGTTGCTTTCTACGCAGCCTATAACAGATTTCGTTTTGCATAAAGGAACAATCGACGGAGACATTTGCATTCCGCAGACAAGGCTTCGTCTGTGTCAGCAGCTAATACAAAATGGAAGTCATTATTTGGCGGATCAATCAGATGTGATCAACTACAACGCTCTTTCTGCAGACGAACACAATGCGATAAAGCATCCAGTGATCACGTCATTTCCTTTCACTAAGGGTAGTCTTGGAAGGAACGGAGGAATACGTACGTTCCTTTAACGGGGAAGGAAATACAGAAGATGGTAACAAGCTCGGTCCATATTGTTAACTAAATTGATTATTTGATTGATTACATGCTATGAGAATGGAAGCCGAAAAATAACAAAGATCAAGGATCCTAATTCATAATTAATTGGCAATTTCACTCATCTTAAGAACGGCTTTTCCGTTCTGAAGACCGAAGTCAATAGAACCATTTCTCACGGAACGGTCGTCATAGCCTAAGCAGTCTTTCCATGTTGTGTCATCCAATCCGAGAGCCTCTCTAAAAGGAGCTGATAAGCTCTTTGCTTCCATAACAGCAATGGGGCGCAATATGGGGCAACACCCGTCATTGATTTACATAGTTTTAGGGGCCCTACAAAAAAGACAGCAATTACTCGAAGATTATTGGTACGCTCAATTACATTTCACATCACATTTCGTGACTGATTGCTTGCTGTTTATAGAAGGAAACAGGTTTGTCTGATCAGACTGCTGCATAGACACATTAAAACTGCGTTTGAAAAAAATTAGCTTTCTTCTCGCGTCAGACTCTGTCCAGCTAATGGCTATTAATGATCGCTCAGAGCTGTGGCTCGTAAATAGCGTTCACGGATCAACTAGTGATTAAAGTTAGTTAATTTGCATTAATCTTACGTCATACATCAGTGTACCACAATATGCTATACAATAAATAAGTAAAACCGCAAAGTTCGACTAAGTTTTGTGGTGAACTGAGTGTGATTAAGCTCGATATAAGCGATGGAAGGAGCTACTACTGTAATACAACATAAATCGGAGCATAATTTCATTACCGCAAGATCTGGGTTTCTCTAAAATATGACCATCGACTTTGTCAGTAATTGACCCCAATATAGTTAGTCGACCAAAAAAACCAAGAGTATAGGCATCCCTCCTAATCGTTGTCCGATCGGTTTGCGACCCTTGTAGCCAGTCGCGCATGTCCACCTCCAGACGATGGCAGACTACGAGGAATCGCCTATAACATTAGTTATTGCACGGCGTATTGAGCTATTGTGTCTAATGTGCATGTAGGCCACACTGTCTTAGAGTAATATCCAACTGACATCTACGGCTGTTTCCAGCTTAAAACACCGCCTCTTCTATCAGCAGTTATTCAAAACAGCAGACTGAGTACAAACTGCCGTTAGGAAACGGTAAAAGATCAGCTGATATCCTGGCCTATACATGTATTTATCATAGTGTCTAGTATAGAATAATATAATGTAATTGTTATAGGAGTCGACAGCTAGCACGAAAGGCCAACCCTATTGTCTAGCTTCGGTATCTATTCCAGCAAGAATTCCTGCTAACTCATCACCCTGTGTACATCATCCAAGGTTAGGTTTGCTCTTTCCTATCATTTCTACTTTTGCCCTCTATGTTCATAGTCGACAGCTGCCACTTGCTCTAAGAGCTTCTCTCTAGCGCTTATTGTCACCATCACCGGCTTTTTACCTGTGGCGTATCTATCTCGTCCTTTCTCCATGACTCGACTCGACTCGACTCGACTCGACTCGACTCGATATGAGGAAAGCTTTCGACAAAAAACTTGTGCTGCTGCTTAAAGAACCTTTGCCAGGCAACGGTTGAAAGAGCCCGGTGGTCCGTTTCCCGTCGTTACTGTTGCCCGAATAGTCAGTCGCCGGACATCGTGCTCGTCTACCTAGCTTCCTTAACGTAGCAGTCCTTGTGTCAGCAGTGCAACTACCACTACTATAATCACCCTCATCCTTGTCAGTTACCCTCGCCCGCCTCCCTGCCCATTTGCCTTGTTACCCGGCTGTTTGTTGGCATACCAGCAGCACCACGAAAGCGGCACATCACGGCCATTCCCCTCTTCAACTCGTTCTCGTTGTCTCACTGATCCCTTGTGTTAACTAATAAATGTGTAATATGATGGTTACAGTTAGACCTGCAATTGCCGATACTGTAGAAGACAAACTAGATCTTTCGCGCCACCTGTCTATTGTCAGCCGTTCAGCCAATCAGGAGGGGCTCAGCAGGATCCAGTCAAGTCCGGCTGTCCCCTTTCCATAACAATAGTTCTCTCCCTCTTTTTTCTCTGTACGTATGTATATATACATATAGAAGAATATAAGTGTATCTCTTTGTTACTGCCGCTGCGCCTGCCGCCAGATGATGCCCTAGACCAGATTTGACTGAAGAGTTGCCAGTGGCGATTACAGGAAAAGACGGCGCCATAAAGCAGCGTCGAACATTTCGATAGCTATGGTATTGGTACGATTGCCAACGCAGAAGGACCCGTAGCTCAGACGCTGCCTTTGCTACTATGCCACCGACGACGACGACGTTTTTGCTGCTGCTGCTGCTGCTGCTGCTATGATGAAGATCGCTTTGCCCCACTGCTAGCGATCATAAAACAGAAATATTGGTAGGGACAGGTGTCTGTTCAGTAGACACAGCGGTAGCTGGCTACGACAAGAACGCGCCAACAGCGCGACGCAGCCCAACGCAACAACGGCGGACAGTAGCCACAACGACTTTCTAACTTTTGATGCTACTACTACTGCTGCTGCTGCTGCTGCTGCTGCTGCTACTACTACTACTACTACTACTGCTGCTGCTGCTGCTACTGCTGCGCGCTGTGGCTGCCACCACAGTTCACGAGGGTAGACTAACACTGATATTATGCTGCTGCTGCTGTTACTACTGCTGTTACTACTGCTGCTACTGCTGCTGCTGTTGTTGTTGTTACATTGGGACTTCGCCTTTTTCTAGCTCAAATATTGTGGCGGAAATACAACGAGCTACACGGACGGACAGACAGGCAGGCAGGCAACGGTTAGCGAGTATCAATAATTGAGGACAACGACAGATCTTTACTCGGATGAGAAAGGCCGAAACGCACAGGGTCCATCTACAGCAGTTACTGCAGCTGGCCATAGACTCGATAGCAGTGGCGGCAGCAGCAGAACTCATGGTAGTAGGGTGCGACTGTGGCGCTTGTGGTGCCTATAGCGTTTCGATATGATTATTTGTAGAGGATGAAGATCGCCAGCGGCAAAGGTGAATCGGTGATGTTCAAGAGCTGCTGGTGTCCCCCCCCCTCTTCCCGCTGATGCTGTTGTTTATGTTCGGCTGGCAAGAAGACAGAAAAAGTCGATTCAGACATTCGGATTACAATTGGACTACGCAGGTATTTGTGTGTGATCATTTGTTTGCCTGGCCGTGTGCGAAGCTGTTTGCCTTTAATACTGGGCTTGCCTAATCTGCCTAGTGCAGGTGGTGATTGAGTGAAAAAAGAATGAACTCAAAAGACGCGGATCGATAGAGGCTTCGCTAAAAGTCCAGCGTAACAATAACAACATTAGAGAAACGATAACAACACTAAATTGCTGCTTCATGAACGGTAGGCTCTTACGAGATTCGATAACTTTATGACAACTAAACGTACTTCGTACAACAGGGGCAAATTAATAACGGTGAGTTCTTGAGTGCCTCTATAAACGGAAACCCTGAACAGGACCCATGGTTATAGGTGTTTTTTTCAGCGGAGATAGATGTCTCATAGCCGACGAAATTACGCGACGACGCACACGACAGAGGTGTTCTCCGCAAAGGCATCACCGTTCTCAGCGCGTGTAAGGACGCCGATACCGATAGAGAAGTTAGCTTCTAGTTACTTTCAGCTAAAGATTGTATGATAGCGTGGACGGAAGAACATCGTCGTGCCCCTATCATATGTATGTCCTAATTGAAAAATATTAGATGCAAGCATTCGCATAAAACGACATTAGTTTCAAGTTTCTGTGTTCATGTGATCGTGCAGGAAAACCTGTGTCGAAAGGCAATTGTCCGGCTATAATAGTTTACCGGAAGTATGTCAATCGTACATTTGCTCTAAAGGAAAGGTGTGTGTTATACTTCATTTACATGTGCAGTGTTTCCCTATAGAAGCAAACGTATTGAGGCCTTGATAAGGAACGTGTTTTTATGTGAACGAGAGGAATTCTAAGAGAACAAATTCAATCTCAGTGACAAAGTTGTGCAAACTACCGGTGCTGCTGCTGCTATCGCTACCGGTTGGCTCCGGCGGGCTATCTGATTGCTTCCGACGATATCCCAAATACTCCTAGCTTTCGCGCAGAGAAGGTAAGAAGAACTTCTGAACGACAATTCCAATCGAGTATCGAAACAGTTTATCAGTGACAATAGATTATTCAGTAAACCCTTGAGATATTCCATTAGTTTCCATTAGTAATTGACCGACCTGGAACGTTTTTGACTGATCCAAATTTACAGGCAACTTTATCAGCTCTCTGTTGACTATGCTTCTCACTGATACGAGTTAATACGAACCAAAACATATTTTAACGTTCGCCTTATTTAAGAGCAGTCTCGGTTTTTATTTTCTCAAACAATTCTACTGAACGTTGTAATTACTATCTTTCATTTCCATAGTTATACTCGCGCTTCAATTGAAAGGTGCCACGCGTATAAACCTAAATCGAGATCTAACTCCTTAATACCGACATGCATATAATTGAGTTGAAAACGCGTCATAACAAGACAGTATTGGAGCTTTACCGTTCGTCTGGCGTGCAGCATTCTTAAGGACAGAGACACTTCTGAAATTGACTATTCTGGAATAGACCGAATTACGTCTGGACTAGACTCATCTTATAACAATAGTACGTTCTATGTATATATAATAAAAGCTAGCTTAGTCAACTGCTTTTCGACGGTCTCACTGTACGTTCAACAATGGCGGTGAACAAACAAACGAAAGCGTTACGGTGTAGCCGACGCCACAGGATTTTCACAGCTAACGAAAGGTAGTGTGAATGAGCGCAGAGCGATGAACGGGAGCGCCTGAAATCGTTTGTGATTTTTTTTTTGTTGGCTTAAGACCACCCAATGGCGTGTCCTCATCCGGACGTTTGAATGGTCTTGTCCCATTATTTTTGACTTGATCTATTCGTGCTGACTTAAGCGCGCGTTTGGGCGACGGGGGACGGGGCGTCGAAAATGACGCGGCCGAAGGTCGATTAAGGCAGTATTTCGCGTGAAGGAGATCTGAGCGATTGTATGCGTCGAAAGACGATTGTTGCGCGATGTGGCGTAACGATGTTAGATGAGCCGTCACAAATGTGTGGGGACCTTGTCGTAGATTCATAGGACTATGCTGTCCTGCTTAAGTTATTGAAAAACAAGTACCTGCTGAACGTACAAAAAAAAACGTTTCGAGAAAAGTTGAACGGTTGTTTATTTTTTGCTGTCCCAGACGAGAATTTTTAGTCTGAGTTTGTTGTGATCAATTTAGTAAATGCGGAAGGCGAGACGCTGTGCACTTCGGGTTGTGGTGTCATAAAAAAGCTTTTTCCACAAAACGATTCTTTGACAAAGCTACAGTAGATACTCAAAGACCGTTTACCACGACAGTGTCAGAATTTAAGTAACAAGATGTTGTTTAGAAGAACTGATGTAAGTAACTGAAACACTTTATTAAAGAGAAAAATTAACTCGAAAAGTAGTGTGTCAGTCAATTGATCTAGCTATAATTACGCCTCGAAATGATTTCAATAACATGATCTTACCGCCACTTTCACTGCCAATTTTAGAAATTATACGGGTTAAGGATCAGCTCTTTCGAAAGCTATCGTTTGGCTTCACGTTTGCGACTAGCGTACGTATTGAATACTTCAGAAGGATGTACTCACTCGCCAGTCAGCTTCTGGGGTGCCCTTATAGCATATAAACACTTGTTCTACTCCTTATTTTACTTATATATATATA